TGCTAAACAGATATCTGATATCCATCCATTTGTATGACAGTGAAGGCTGGACGATCTACCCACAGATGAAGAGAAAACAGATAAAGAGGCAGTAGATATATGATTCTACAGAAGGATACTGAGAATTCCATAGACGAAGAGAGTAAGCCACGAGGAATACTTAAAGAAAATGTTAACAAAAAGAACACTTTTACTCAGAATCAGAAAAAAATTAGACACATAACGAGAAAGGAAGGTTTGGAGAACTTGACCTTCACAAGGCATATCAAGGGCAAGAGAGATAGAGGAAGGCAGCAAGCCATTTACCTGACGTGGTTGTGTGAACGGATGTTGGCGTCGGAGGCTTGGCAAAGGGAGATACGCTGGTAAGGGCCACAAGAGATAGGAAGCTGTGGAGGGACATGATCGCCCAGGTTTTGAAGAGACACGGTACAACGAATAAGAAAACTTGATCTTCACAGGGCATATCGAGGGCTAAAGGGTTAGGGGAGGGCAGCGAGCCATTTACCTGACGAGTTTGTGTGAGGTTTGTCAAAGGGAGGTACGCTAAAGGTCACAAAGGATGGGAAGCTGTGATCATGTATTAAAAGATCTCCCACGTCCTGAAGGAAGACAGTACAAAGAATACGAATAAGAAGATTCTTCGTTTTTAATCGGGATTTTAGGAAATGCTCTGTAATATCAGACAGTGCCACACGTGATACATGCTTGGCCGATCATGTATATTTTGAGACTTGACTGACGAGGCAGATGATTTTTCCACAGTAGGTTGCCATTTCTTTCTGCAGTAGACTGGTTGCCAACCAAGGCTAAAGAACCCCGTCCTGCTATTTAACCCATAGCTAGGAGTCGCTCTTTCTTTCTTTCTTTCTTTCTTTCTTTCTTTCTTTCTTTTCTCCCGTTTCCTCCATTACATTTTTATTTCCCTGTTTCTTCCTTTATTTTGTTTGCTCTCTTCGTTTCTTTCTTATCATACCTTTCCCAAGGGTATTTGTGTGTAAGTGAATCTAACGAAATCGACTGGGATTCCAACTCGGCTCTCCGAGTTCTCACTCCGAGCCGATATCCATTACACCACAACGCGCACCCAACTTACCTATAGACTCAAGTATAAAACCAGTCCAATACTTACCTATAGTCTCAAGTATAAAACCCGACCAATGTCTATCTATAGACTCAAACTAAGCAGAGTACTAAGAAACAGGAGAATGTCGCTAGAAACAAGGAAAAAGAAATTAATTTGTTACATGATATCTGTCCTTCTGTGTGGCAGCGAGTACAGGAGGAGAATAAAGGGATTCGTACCTTCCCAAGGGTATTTGTGTGTAAGTGAATTTAACCAACTCATCTGGGATTCGAACTCGGCTCTCCGTGTTCTCACCGATATTCATTAATCCACAAAGTACAAGCGAATATCATTTGAACCTTAAAATATCTTGTTCCAAATTCCATTGTGTCTTATAATAAGTCACTCCCTTTTTATGCTGTATGAGAAGTTCGGATTAAATCTGCTCTCCCCACCTCCCCGTGTCTCGCCGTGCCCGACTGGCTTGTGCAGATTCGTGCCCTTCTCCTCTCCTTCCAGTCACTCATTATAACTAAGCTACTTGAACCCTGTTCAAATGTCCCCCATTCAGCATCTGCTTTAAGCATTAGCATGAAACTCTTGACACACGACTTGAGGAGGAAAGATTAGCCTCTGCCTCTGCTACCCGCACAAGTTCGTTCCCGCCAAAAAGAACTCTCCTTCTCCCCATCACCGCGACATCGCTCTTCTCCTACTTACTACGATTACTACTACTACTACTACAATGTCCCAACCCCCAAACTCCATTTACCCCTGTTTGCTACTTTGACTCAGTTTTAGTGGCGCACTTTGAAATGACACGTGGAAAGTTGAGCCGTCAACATTACGCATCTTTCATTATAGTCCGCCTTGGGTCATTTCGGATTTATTTATTTATTTTTGATAACCATTCAGGATTTTTGTACTTTTCGTCTAAGAAATTTCTATTTTCAAACTATCTTTCTTTATTTATTTCTTTATTTATTTACTTCTTTCTTTCTTTCTTTCTTTCTTTCTGTCCCTTTTCTCGCTTTCTTTCTTTCTTTCTTTCTTTCTTTCTTTCTTTCTTTCTTTCTTTCTTTCTTTCTTCTCCCGTTTCCTCCATTACTTCTTTTATTTCTCTGTTTCTTCTTTTATTTTGTTTGCTCTTTTTGTTTCTTTCTTATCATATTTTCTTTCTTTTTCTCTTCTCTTGCTTCTTCCATTACTTCTTTATTTCTCTGTTTTTTTTTTCTTTTATTTTGTTCGCTCACTCTTTTTCTTACTCATACTATTTCTTTCTTTTTCTTTCTTCATTTCTTCTCTCACTTCTTACTTCTTCCGTTTTATCCATTACATATTTATCTCTCTGTTTCTTCTTTGTTTCTTTTTACTTTCTTTCTTTCTTTCTTTCTTTCTTTCTTTCTTTCTTTCTTTCTTCTCATTTTTATTTTCCTCTTTTTATTTCTTTCTCAAACTGTTCTATCTATCTATCTATCTATCTATCTATCTATCTATCTATCTATCTATCTATTCCAGTTCTTTCTTTTTCTGTCTATCTACATTTCAATCTATATGTCACTGCCAGTTATTTCTTTTGTCTTCTTTACTTTTCTTTCTTTCTTTCTTTCTTTCTTCTCATTTTTATTTTCCTCTTTTTCTTTCTTTCTCAAACTGTTCTATCTATCTATCTATCTATCTATCTATCTATCTATCTATCTATTCCAGTTCTTTCTTTTTCTGTCTATCTACATTTCAATCTATATGTCACTGCCAGTTATTTCTTTTGTCTTCTTTACTTTTCTTTCTTTCTTCTCATTTTTATTTTCCTCTTTTTCTTTCTTTCTCAAACTGTTCTATCTATCTATCTATCTATCTATCTATCTATCTATCTATCTATCTATCTATTCCAGTTCTTTCTTTTTCTATCTATCTACATTTCAATCTATATGTCACTGCCAGTTATTTCTTTTGTCTTCTTTACTTTTCTTTCTTTCTTTCTTTCTTTCTTTCTTTCTTTCTTCTCATTTTTATTTTCCTCTTTTTCTTTGCTTCATTCCTTCAGTCTTTTGTTACAAAATTTCTGTTTACAAAAATTCTGACAAAATTTTTCTAGGCACTTTTAAAAGAATTATTTCCCCTCCTTTTCTTTAATTGATTTTTTCATTCTAACTAAAATTTCTTTCATTTTCCGTTTTTCCTTTTCTTTCTTTCAATCTTTCTTTCTTTATTTATTTGTTTGCTTGTTTCTTTCTTTCTTTTCATTTTCTCTGGGCAATTAACTCTCTCTGCTATTTTTGTCCTCTTTTCTTGTACAGTCTCACAATAATATTTTTTCTGACATTTTTATATTTTATTTCTTCTTTCTTTCGTCTTCTTTAAATCCCCGTTTTGGGAATTTAATTACACTTTACAAGTTATTTTCTTACTTTCAGCCTCTATTCATTTTTATTTTTCTCTTTTTCTCGTTCTGCCTGTCATTCTTTCTTTCATTCTTTCTTTCACATTTTCTTTTTTTTCTTTCCTTCTTTCTTTCTTTCTTTCTTTTATCTGTGGTATTAATCTCATCTTTTACTTTCTTTCACTCTTTCTTTTTTTCTTTCTTTCTTTCTTTTATCTGTGTGTATTAATATTATCTTTTTCTTTCTTTCATTCTTTCTTCTTTCTTTCTTTCTTTTATCTGTGTGTATTAATATTATCTTTTACTGTCTTTCCCTCTTTCTTTTTTCTTTCTTTCTTTTATCTGTGTGTATTAATATTATCTTTTTCTTTCTTTCACTCTTTCTTCTTTCTTTCTTTCTTTCTTTTATCTGCGGTATTAATCTCATCTTTTTCTTTGAAACTTCTTTTCTAAATCCCCTTTTTTTATGAACTTTTCATTTGATTTTTTCTGTTCGTTTTTTTATTTCAAATTATTCAATGTTCAGATATTTCTTCTCGTTTCATTTCTGTCGTGAATTAATCAACATTTTCATCTTACTCTTCTTTTCCCGACTCTCTTATTTTTCTCTCTCTTCTTTTTTTATCATCTTTTACTTCTTTCTCCATCTGTCTCCTCTTCTTTTACTTTTTATCTATCCACTTTTTCTCTCATCTTTCCTCTCCTCTTTTCACTTGATTCCCTCTTCTTGTCTCTCATTTTTTACTACTGTTTTCTCTCTCTTCTCTCTCCTCATCCTACACTTTCTCATATTTCTCTCTCTTCTTTCCTCTCATCATTAAATGAATTTCTTTTTCTCTCTCTTCTTTCGACTGTACATTTTGATATTTGGTCTCATTGTCTTGTTCCGCCATCGTTTTTTTTTCGTTTTTTCTTCTTCTTTCGTTTAACGCCCACCTTTTTTGACTTCTCTCCGTTCTTTTTCTTCTTCCTCTTTCTCTTATCGTTTTTCAGCTTCTTGTATTTTTCTTAAATTTTTCATATCAGCTTTCTTTCTTTCTTTTTTTTTTATATCTGTCTTTCTTTCTTTTGTTCTCTTTTCTTATATTCTACTTCCTTTTCTTTAAATTCTCTTTCTTTTTTCATTTACATCTCTCTACTCTTTTTCTTCTCCCTCTTTCTCTTATCGTGTTTCAGCTTCTATTTTTCTTAAATTTTCATATCAGCTTTCTTTCTTTCTTTCTTTCTTTCTTTCTTTCTTTCTTTCTTTCTATTGTTCTCTTTTCTTATATTCTACTTCCTTTTCTTTCCATTATCTTTCTTTTTTTCTTTTACTTCTCTCTATTCTTTTTCTTCTTCCTCTTTCTCTAATCTTTTTTCAGCTTCTTCTTTTTTTCTTAAATTTTTCATATCTGCTCTCGGTCTTTCTTTCTTTCTTTTTGTCTTTCTTTCTTTTTATGTATCTTTCTTTCTGTCTTTCTTTCTTTCTTTCTTTCTTTCTTTCTTTCTTATATTCTGCTTCCTTTTCTTTCCATTCTCTTTCTTTTTTCTTTTTACCCTTTATAGTTTCGATTTCCTTCAAGTCATGAACTTTTCTCTTCATAGTTCTTTTTCTTCTATATTTCCTTTCTTCGTTCCATCCTTTCTTTTCCTTTTATTTTGTCTTTCTCTTTCTCATTCATTACTTTTTCTTCCTTCATTTTCATTCATTCATTCATTTCCCGGCAACTACAAATATCACTTTGCAGTTTTTCGGTTTTTTTTTCTTTTTCTAGTTCTTTAACTTCCTTTCGTTTTCTTCATAATTTTTTCTTTATTTCTTAAGCTGTTTTTATCAACCTCTTTTTCGGTATCTTTTCCTCCGCTTAATCCAAATGTCCTCTACTTTTCATACAAAGAGAAAAGACCCCTGGCAATGTTTGTTTTCCCCATCTCAAGTGGTTCTCGTATTGTCTCGTCCAAACCTTCTTCGACACGTGATGTGGTTTTAACGGATTGTCCATTGAGATGTGTCCTAGCTAATTTAACTTGACTGGATGACATTTCTTTGATTTCTCGCTTGCTTGTCTGACTGTCACTCTGCTTGAATCTCCCCCAAAATAACAAACACGACGTCTCCAGACACAATCAAAGGAAGCTCAGCTTTCACAATAAAAAAAAAAAATGCATGTTATTATGATGAGCTCCAGGAATGGATGGAGTCTTTTTGCGAGTTGCTTTAAGAAAACTATCGGGAAAATTAGAGTCGAACTTTTGAATATTTATGTAAATAATACTTAAACTCTCAGCTGATATACAACCGTTTTCACAGATCCAGGTATTAATATGGGATTGGAGTAATGTTGAAAAAAGACCTTATTAATCTGTATATTTTTATCAATGGCGTCTAACCCGTTCAGAAAAGTCTAAATTATCAACTGTATGCAACCGCTTTTTCAGATCAATGATAACAAATGGCTTCGAGCAAATAAAGCCATGGCGGGAAACATACTTCTTCAATATTTGAGGTCTGGAGCAACAGCATCGTAAACAGATAACAGAAACCACAAGCGTTGAAGATTGTAACAATTAAAATGGATAGTACATGTAAGATAAAGAGAAAATAATGAAATAATCAAGATGTTGACGTTCGGCAATACTTCGAACAAAAGGTTAGGAAGGAAACCTCCACCAATTCTTGAAAGAGCGATAACAGCTATGGGACATGAGAAACCTATTTTTCTGAAAAATTGTTTTCATAGAAAGTTTTCCTAAATTTCGAGCAACAGTGGCACTGGCTGCTCGTTCCTTGAATTCCGATTGTATTATCATCCACGTTGAGACTCCGGTTTCTGTGCGATTATCGAAGTAAAGCAATGTCGAGCCTGGTCAGTACCTAGACGTGGTCCACTTGGAAATAACAGGTTTTGTAAGCTTGGATGTGCGGGTGGTGTAATAGATAATTATTTGGAATTGTTAATCGTAGAACCGAGTTCTAAGTGCAGTTGTTTTCATTATATTCATTTAAATCCACCTCTTCTTCATCCGGCTATGGGTTAATTATTAAGATATGTATCATTAAATTATTATTATCACCAAAGAAAAAATCTTATAATCTGAAAAAAAAAATTTTCCCGGCTTTAAATAACCTGCAAAGTGTTGATAAACCATTAAGCACGAATCAATCATTAAAAGTATTTACCATCTTTCTGTCTTTTCTGTATATGTTTCTTTCTTTCTTTTTATCTATCTATCTATCTATCTATCTATCTATCTATCTATCTATCTAATTTTGTTCCTGTCTCTCTCCATTTCTCACTCTGTATCTATCTATCTATCTATGCATCTATCCATCTAATTCAGTTTCTTTCTTTCTTTCTTTTTACCTATCTATCTATCTATCTATCTATCTATCTATCTATCTATCTATCTATCTATCTACATCATTCTGTTTCTATCTATCTATCTATCTATCTATCTATCTATCTTAACAATTCACATTGTTGATATCATCTTTTCTAAACCATGGATTTCCAAAGTGAGAAGTGACAGAAAACCGAATGTTGAAACTATTTGTCATATACTGGGAAAAAAAGAGTGCCCTTGTGAAAGGTATTTAGAATATTGTTTCGAATTACCCTTTTGTTTTAAATAAATTGACGCACTCACTTGATTGTCAAGGGCTTGTGATTTCTTCATAAATGGATTCTTTCAAATACCGAAACAACGACATTCATTTTCATATACCGGATATAAGAGCAAATCGTGTAACAGCGTGGAATAACTGTCCAGCCTACAAAAAAATTAATATTTAAAAAAATAAAAATAAAAAATAAACTAACTGCGTTTCTTTTTTGTAGGTTTTTCAGATAAGACGTTTAGCTATTTTGACACAATTTCTCGCAAAAATTACTGAAAAAACATTTGAGTTATCCTCCTAGAAAGAGGGTTTAAATTAGTTTTGTTTCAGTCCCACTCTCTTCCCAACTGAGCAATGGCGAGAGAAAAAAGATCCTTCATGCCTTCAGTAATAATACCAAATTGCATACTGTGGCTTCTATCTTCAAGGTCCATTGAAAAGCCAACACGATAACGGTAAATAAGTTTTCAAAAGAGGGAACAGAAGTGAGGAAGACTGGATCAGGAGATCGCAACAGAAAGTTGGATCATTATTTCAACTTAGAGCTAAATACATTGTTACAATACAATAGTATTAGAAAAACTTCGGAGAATTCCAGTAAGATATCTTTTATCATTTCTAACATACAGCGGTTCAAAAGTTTAATATAAGAATTGGACAATTTTGCTGTCACACGATTTGGACAATTTTGCTGTCACACGAATTTGGACAATTTTGCTGTTACACGATGAGAAACTGACAATACAAACCCGAGACTAACTTCAAATGCTGGATCGATCCATGCTACCAGGCCAAGGAGACCAAGCAATGGAGTCGCACTTTAATGGGAGAAGCCCTCTTTCTGTTGTATCATCAAGCAGGCTAAGGAATCCACCACCCAGACAACCCATATTCAGGCATTGAAGCAGCCTAAGCTTCCCATCTCAAATTCGAGATGACACCACAACAATTCATGCTGGAAGTTCCGAATTGACTGGGATGTCTTTCAAGCACCAAGATGACAAATATTGCCAAGCTCCCAAGCTTCCCCATCTCAAATATTCACCTTTACAATTGTGCTGATGAGACTACCAAGATGACAAAACGCCATAATTCAACATACTGATGACCCTAACTTCTTTATCACTGATCAAGATAAGCTACTTGAAATGGTAGAAGCGTTGGTCACCCAGAGGTCAAGTTCTATTGTCCATCGCATTGCTTTTTCCTCCATGTCTCAGGATGCGGATGAGCCAAGTTACCTTGTCCGCCTCAGAGCTGTAGCTGTTGATTGTAACTTTACCTGCCCCTCGTGTGAGCATGACCTATGTGATATATACATCAAGGACCAGATCATCCGTGGAATAGCAAATGACACACTTCAGGCTGACCTACTGGCCAAAGCTGGGGCACTTAAATCCCTTGAGCAAAATATCCGTCATGCTGAGGTATTTTAATCAGCATTGCGAGACCAAACCTCAATGGCTGGCGCTTCAGATTCAGCCGCTGCTCGGCTATCAACATACCGCAGACAGAAGGGTACGCCACAAGCCAACAAGGGAATCCGTACCAGCACCTATTGCAACTGCAATGTTAAACCAAACCACCGGTCTTGCTTAGGTTGTGGCAGCCACCAGCACGGCACCTCAGTAACTGGATCCCGCCGGCTAAAATGCCCAGCATCGGGACAAACATGTAGTAATTGTGGGAAGCCCAATCACCTATCGAGGGTATACCGGGCTAAGAAACTGGCTCAAGCGGTAAGGAAAAGCCCAGAGGCTAATGAAGCCGCCATGGACACACAATCAAACGACGGGCACGTATACATCTAAAGACACAGGCCAGGTAAGGGAGATTGATGCATATGTTGTTCTAT